GCAAATCTGCAACAGAATGACTGAATTGTTTTGATGGGCCGTTACAAAAGCTGTTCATAAACAAATGCCCACAAACCTCAATGAACTGAAATGACATAAAAATAGTGGGCAGAAATCCCCCACAATGATTAGAGAGATTGATAAAGTCAGACAGGAAACTGATTACTTGAAGTTGCTGCTGCTAAAAGTGAGTCAACAAGCTACTGAATCATGGGGTGTACTTAATTTTGTTAGTTTTTCAGATGCTGTTTCAATAGACACAGTGTAATATGTCACGTGTTGTCATTCATCTCAGCTTGTATTTACCTAATTTTAAGACCAGCTAAGGAGCAGTTGATTGTTCACTGTGGCGTTATGCATAAAACCTTATAATTGAAAGAGGGTTTACTTTCGTTTTGCTATAACTCTATGTTTGAAAGCCTAATGCAAATGTTCAGTTTGAGAATAATAATTCTGAGTGTCAGACCTTGAGCTCAAACGCTGGGTTATCGCACAAAATAGTCGGTCTGATTATGAAGTGGCACTGAATTAAGCCACAGCCTTGGTATAAAACCTTGGTCAGCAGTTCTACAAACTATCCTTTAAACCTGATCTCTTCCGATATTTAATGTTGTAACTATCAGCACAAGCATGTAATGTGGTTAGATGTGTTTTTGAATTAAAAACAGATATGAGGCATTTCAGTACGAGTATAACTGTAAATAAATCTATGCTTACAGGCGTATAATCAAATAAAGTTGCATTTTTTCAACCATAAAATCAGAGCCAAAACCTCATTAGAGGAGGTCAGAAAATAAATCTTTTTTTTAATGGTCGTATATCAGATTAAAATACGGTAACTATTCAGCACTTGGATGCAACACAGACAAAATCCTGCTGTCAGACTTCGGTCAGCATCTGTCAGCCTGCAGAGAAGAGAGAAAACGCTGCAACTGATACAGAATATGGAGGAGTATGTTTGTGTGTTTATTTACTTTTTTTAAAACTCTCTCTCTACAGCCTCGATCTATCCTCTTAAGTTAATACCTTCAGTGGGCATTAAATTGCATGGCTTTTAGCTGAAATAAAACTAATTCATTTCCAGGAATAGCATAGTCGAGATGTTATTCAGCTGAGTGGACAAGTGGATAAAAAGGTTCCTGTAACTAAAAAGTCCCGGGTTCAATCTGCACTGACCCTGCACGTCTGTCAGCAACAAGAGCAGCGTGGGCTGTCGTATGAAGCGGCTTTACAGAGTGGATTTACTTCGCTTAATGTGTTCGTGGGCTCAGACACTGCAGCAACTCGCCTGCTAGTGTGAAGTGAATTCAAGACCTTTAAAGGCTGTAGCTCTCTATTGACTGCTGTCTGTCAGAGTTTAGACAGGAGGAACTCAGCTTGTTAACCAGGTGTCAAATCAACTGTCTTCCTCTGTCAGTCTCACACGGGAACTAAATAAACTGAACGCCTCACTGCCTGCACTACTATCTACTTCTTTTAGTATTAAGTTGTTTTTTCCTGAAACAATGGAGAGGCTCTTCTTTCAGTTTTTTTCTTTTCATGTAGTATAATTCATGGTTATGATAATTAAAAATTTAGCTTTGGATAAATAGTGTGAAAAATGAACTTGGTTATTTCTATTATTCCAACACATAGACTGTATATAAAAGATGGACTGGAAAATGCAGAAGACCTTTAAACCTGCGTTTCTTTCCCCTAATGGTCAGTAGGAGGTCTTTTTTTTTTCGCTTACAAAAAGAAGTCTGATTAAGAAAAGGCCAGTAAATACATTCGCATTAAATGTAATCATCTTCAGCCGTAGCTTCAGATCATGAAATGTGTTAATGCTCATTTTGTAAATTGTATGCTTTAGGGCATGGGCACCTTATGTTTGAATGAATGAATGAATGAAAGCCTTTATTTGTCACATACAGG